GGAAGGTTTTCAGAAATATTCTGGCTTTCTCAACAGAATCGTCATTTACATATATTTATATTATGTTCTTAAACTTTAAAAACTTATCACCCCCTCTCTCACTCCTCCCCCCCCCCACTCTGCATTGACACGCCTACCTCGCTGTATTTATAACACTATAGGGCGTGTCTGTATTTATATCACTATTAATGAAGGATGGAAGGTGGAGGATGAACTGAATGAATGACGGAGGTTGCTCCGCTCCTGGCAGAGGTTGAATCAATACTGAGGACAAGCCGCTGCCTTAGCCAGGCCTCCAGGGGCACCGGAGGACAGAGGGGGGGGTCCAGGGGCAGTGGAGGACAACAGGGGAGGATTCAGTGGCAGAGAAGGATAGAGGAGGGGGCATCTGCAGGGGCAGCAGAGGAAAGTGGGGCCAGGGTCCAGGGACAGCAGAAGAAAGGGGGGCCAGGGTCCAGGGGCAGCAGAAGAAAGGAAAGGTGGAGGGTGAAATGGAAGGGGACCCGGTTTTAAAAGATAGAGGGGTCCAGGAGCAGAGGAGAATATTGGGGGGTTCGGAGGCAGAGTGGAATGTTGGGGGTCCAGGATGAAAGGGGGGTAAAACGGAAGGGGACCCTGTTTGAGAAGATGATAGAGGGGTCCCACTGTGATGATAGCAGGCTACATTTGTTACGTGCTGGGTCGGCTGTACACTGGTCTGGACGGTACGACTGAATGCATGTACACAGAACATGTTGTATCAGCTCGGATCAAGCAACTTAAAGAGTGGGTGGTCCAGTGGCAGAGGAGAATATTGGGGGTCCAGGGGCACCGGAGGAGAGGGGGGGTTGTTCAGGGGCAGAGGAGAGACGTTTAGGGGATGCAGGGAGCAGCCAGGGCAAGTTGCGTTCGGTCTCTTGTATATTAATTCATTTGCCGTTTATCTCAATAAGATTAAGCTTATGACACTTAATCAATGAAAACGCATCATCTGATAGAAAAAAGAAAAATGTTTGGGTGAAATATATAGATATATTATCAATTTTCGCAGGTCATCTAAACTATGGAATTAATTGTCTAAACCGTGGAGTTTATCATGTAAACCTTGAAGTTTAACATGTGAACAATGGAGTTTATCCTGTAAACAATGGATGTTATCCCCTGTAAACCGGAGTTTATATCCATTAAGTTTCATTTCATTTAGTTACACTTGATATAATTACACTTTGAATTCTGTTTCTTGACAAATTAGCTCAGAATGTAATAAATATTGTACATAATTATTTATTTTTGTAAACTTCTACGTAAACTGCGTTTCAGATAAATACGTAGCATGGTTAGCTTAAACCCCTTTTAATTCATACATTCAACTTATAAACATGTGTGGAGATAGCTTAACTAAATTATATCTATCCTACCTAATCCTATAAATATGTACATCTTAAATGCGCCTATTTCAACTGTGCTGTAATACGTAACATGATTGCCTTAACCTTGTGATATAGATAACAGCGTAGGAATTGTAATTATGTCTATCAATTAAACGTGTAACCTATCAAACCTTAAATATAGCTAGTTAGAATCAAAACTACGCTTTGATTACCTCAGTGTAGGAAAAAGATCGATTAATAGCTTGTTTGATAGCTACTCTTGTGTCCCTGTGTGGCATTTAGAGCCGAAGTAATAGCTTGTTTGATAGCTATGCTTGTGTCCCTGTGTGACATTTAGAGCCGAAGTAATAGCTTGTTTGATAGCTATGCTCGTGTCCCTGTGTGGCATTTAGAGCCGAAGTAATAGCTTGTTTGATTGCTACGCTTGTGTCCCTGTGTGGCATTTAGAGTCGAAATAATAGCTTGTTTGATAGCTATTCTAGTGTCCCTGTGTGGCATTTAGAGCCGAAGTAATAGCTTGTTTGATTGCTACGCTTGTGTCCCTGTGTGGCATTTAGAGCCGAAATAATATCGTGTTTGATAGCTATGCCTGTGTGGCATTGAGAGCCAAAGTAATAGCTGTTTTTCTTCATCTACGCTTGTGTACCTGTGTTGCATTCAGAGCCCCTCCCCCCCTATAAAGTTTAGTAGGGGGAAAAAATTGTAGACCTGTAAATGTACTCGATTTCTCAGATTCCATAAAGTCGGATTTGTTCAAAATTCCTTTAAATTCTGAAAATTGAGATTATAACTCAGTTGACTGCCTATCATTATATTCCAAAGAAAAGGTTTAGGTGTTATGACCTAATGTCTAATGGTCAACGAGGTTATAGTGTATAGAGTGATGATGTACGCCAATCCTTTACTAATAACAAGGGCGTACTGCATATTTGTTTATTAAAAGGAGATTCTGGTCTAACCTGTAGTATATCAATATTAGTAAACAGTTGTAAGTGTACAGTACAGCTAACTGAGCACACAGGTAGAGAACTATCATCACCCCTGCTGATTGTCCATTTACAGCAGGGTGTGTAAACTATGAAGTTTATCTCTGATGCAAATTGGTAAAAGTTGTTCTTATGGTTGGTAGGTTTCCCCCGAAAACATAGCAAGGTTTCCTCCAAATTGGCAACGTATCCTTTTAATTGGTAAATTTCTATGGTGCAAGATCATAAATAAGATGATAAAGTTTTGATCAAAATACATATAAACATAACAATCTCTACAGATCAATGTACAGTGTACACGTATTACATATAAACATAACAATCCCTACAGGTCAATGTACAGTGTACACAAATTGTACATAATATTTAAGCATTAGATATGTATTTCATCAATATTAAAGGGAACAAAAGCGAAAAGAAAAGGCCATATTGGATCAGCAATAACAAAAAACAGTTAGAATTCATTGATCCTGTGCTGCCGATCCCTTTTCGCGAACATTCCCTTTTAACTAAATTTTAATTATTACACTGGAAGCAAATTCTCAAAGACAAACAAGTACAGGTTAACCCACAATGGAGGAGACTTTAACGACGACCTAAAACGCTTAGAATTAAACTAACTTATGGTTAAATTTAGACTTCTATCTATGACAGATCACTTGTCAAAGATAAAACAAATTTACACCATGGAACCTAAAGTGTGAGAACAACGACTGGATAAACTCTGATGTCTCATTCTTTGTGAGTATCCCTGTATATCGGAGGATTTAATAGAAGAAGATGATTAAACTCAGCTTTTAAATTGAAAATCTGTAATATTTAACGAACTGGTGAAACAAAATTAATTACATTGTACATTTGTATTATTAATTTCGTTGCGTGAGTTGTTAAAGTAAGTGACCGCCAAAATCAAAATTAATTTATGTAAAAAAACTTAAGAAGTATAAATTTTCCACACTTGACACATTTTGTGCATTGTTTATAATATTTTAAAGAGTTGATGTTATTCTACTTCCAAAAAAATATGCAAGGAAAAGAATTCTGAAAATCTACAAAATGAAGATAAAAAGTTGCAGTGCTCGGTTTCTTAGAAATGCTTTCATTGGTACAAGAGAGGGGGGGCAACTTTTATGTCATGGAAGGGTTTGCCCCCCCCCTTTACAAACAATTGGGTTAACAGGATTTACAAGTTTAAATATTTTTCTCTAATAATATATTATTATTAACATTGAATCAAGTTTTTTGTTTTTAACAGGCTACACAAAATCAATGACAAAATTTGTATTATTTTGTAAGAAAACAAAAAATCAAAAATAATTTTGAAAAAAAATTCGGGAATATTTGGTTTGGCTAGAGGAACAAAACCGGGTTTTCACGTGATAAACCATTGGTAACAACAAGGTTGTTTTTGACCCGTTATTGTCTATAATTAACTTATAATTTCAAACGACACTTAACATGCAAAGATGGCAATGTACAATTCACATCGGTACCCTTGAAACCTTTATCTGATCAGAAACGTGAAAAATATTGTCGTTTTTCTAGGGTTTAAGGTGTTTAAGCCACAATTGAAATAATCTGTTAAACAATATAAACATTCATATCTAATTCATAATTGATCAGACAAAGTCTTCAAGGGGTACCTTTGCAGTGAACCGTGCATTGACATCTTTCCATAGAGATTCACTTGAAATTACTCTCACAGTTTCTTTGAAAGGTCTCTAACAACGATGTTATGAATGGGTTACGGATTCTTGAATCTGATTGTGTTTAAAGGGACTGCACGCGTAATTTAAAGTGACCCTCCGTTCAAAGAGGGAAATTCCCGATTAACAATGGTACCCTTAAAACCTTTGTGTTCGTCGTGTACAGAGATATGTTTGTGTAAAGTTACCTAAACGCTTCCAGTCAACTGAAAATGACGGTGTGTACACTGTGTACGTACAGTCTCATCTCAATACAGTACAGTACAGCGCCCACCGGCATTTTCAGCTGAAAACAAGCGTACAGGTAACTTTACACACACATATCTCTGTACACGACGAAAACACAAAGGATTAAAGGGTACCATAGAAAATCGGACTTTCCCCTTTATGCATGGTGGGTCCCTTGAAATTAAGCTTACAGTCCCTTTAAGTGCTAAAGACCTTTTTCTTACATATGCCAACAGGGGGTCGGCCAATGGCCAAGAACTAACTAATGTACAAATGTAGAATTATCCAACACTCATTATTAAATAAATTTAAGCAATAATCAAATTAACATTATTATCAATTATTATTTAACATTATTATATTGAGCGATTTATCAAAATAACCTCAAAGCTCATTTAACCGTCTTTTCTTTAATCAAGATGCCACACAGCAGAGCTGGGAACTTTAGAATGGGATACCATTAATCCTGACTGCTTAATCCGTATATCCAATGTGGACACTTGTAATGTCATGCTTAATCCACGCTTTTTTGGATATAAAACAGAAAAATCAAAAACCGGTTTTTTTAAATTGAGAGTCCTTCCCGTTTCTGTATATTAATCTTAAATGGCGAGCAAAATTTCAAATTTACCGGCTTATAATACGGGACTCTTATTGGTTGAATGTTATCCAGTTTTCAGGATACAAGAACAAGGTTAAGTTAGTCTCGAGATTAAGAAAAAGAGAGGATTAAGCATTAATCTCTATATCCACCATTCTAAAGTTCCCAGCTCAGGTTTGATTTAAAGGACTGTAGGTGCAATTTTAAGGACTTTGCCCGATTCACAACGGTTTCCTTCGTTTTTTATTTTATTTAACTTGAAAAAAAATTGAACCATTTCTTCAATGGTTTCTTTAAAATAAATCCACAAATCGTTTAGTAGAAAAATCACACTTGAAAATGATTTGTTTAATCAGACAAAGATTTCAGTGTGAATCTGACAAGTCGCGTAAAATTACCCCTTCAGTCTCTTCGAACCAAAAACAAGGAGATTGCAGTGCAATCTTTACATCAGTTTAAACACTATTTAATTATTTGTAAAACAAAAAGTATTTTTCCGTCAAATTTATGACAGAAATAAAATTTTATGCGAAGCTTTTCCCCCCAAATAAATTAATATTTCCATTGTTCCTTGTTAAACCTTCAGGTTTAGAGGTTTAGTTGTTACCTTGTAAAACCTTCAGGTTTAGAGGTTTAGTTGTTACCTTGATAAACCTTGAGGTTTAGAGGTTTAGTTGTTACCTTGTAAGACCTTTAGGTTTAGAGGTTTAGTTAGTTACCTAGTTAAACCTTCAGGTTTAGAAGGAAGAGCAGGTTTAGAATTTCTTGGAGCCGGGACAGGGAACATGCGATTTACTTCCTATTAAAAAATTGAATTCAAAATTTAATAAAAATGAATAATAAAATTAAAAGTAATCTCCTTTTAATATTTAAAAATGTAATCAAAACTAATTTCTTGTTGAAAATAAAAATAAAAATTACTTTCCTGTTCACGATCAAAAATCTTGTTAAAGATGATAAAATGAATTCAAGCATAACAAATTACAAATTTAATTAATAAAGGAATAAATGTGCGAAAAAGGATGAAAAAGAAATGAATAAAATGAATAAATTAGGATAATAGGGTGAATAAAAAACTAAATATTAGGATGAAAGAATGAATGAATGAATGAATAAATTAATAAATAAATACATAAAAGGATGAATAAATAAATAAATAAATGAAAAAATGAATAAATAAATAAATTAATGAAAAAATGCATAAAAAACACCTCTGCAGCCTCTATCTCTAACTTCTCTAGTTCAGGATACAGGCTTCCTTGAACACTGTACACTCCGCCAGTGTTTATAATCTGTCCGTGTACTGTATGTACTGTATCGACCCCAGTAACAGACCGTAAAGAGTTCTCGTTCAGATCCCGAGTTGAATCAACTCTAAACATTTAATATTTCAAAATAAAACTACGGATACATGAAACTAGGGAACTCAGCGTTGCCCGGGTTACTCATAGTTACTGCCGCTAGGTCTGTAACAATCTAGGCCCCGCTAACTTTGTCTCAAACTCTAATCCTTCAGTCAATCCTGACTATACTAACAGCTAAACAGCCACGATATAAAACTAACAGCCTACCCAGGCTAATTCCGTCCGTATTGAACAGCGATTGATATTGTACTAATTTATTGATAACAGGTAAATAGGTTGACCGGTCGGGCCGGTCAGGGTACGAAACTAAATCATAGATAACATAGATAGATGGACACAGCTGCTCCTAGATTTGCTACAGGTCTTAAATTACGATATTAGCTTTTTTTCCCTATAAAAGTGGACCCACTCAACTTAAAATCAAGTTAAGAACATTCTTCTGGTACTCCCGAGCTCCCCAATTAAATTTTGAGGCAAATCCAGGGGTTCATGAGTTAAGATCGGACATACAAACAATCAGACAAACAGAGATTCCTTTATATATTCAGAGGAGTATATCGATTAAGCGTTTTATATTTATAAAAACCATCCACACCCCTTAATGAAATTTATCCTTCCCCTTTTATGTTGGGTATGTTATTTAAGGTTGGGTTGGGTTTGAATTTGCGGAAAAAAAGATCTTTTAGGGCAATTTTATTTTTGTGTTACCAGTTACCTAGGAGAAGGAGTATCCAGGGATGATCTAGATCCTGGTTCAGTTGATGAGCTAGAACAAGGTTCTGAACCTCGAGAGGTCGGAGGTTTAGGAGGAGGCTGGGTAGGATGCTGGAGGATCTTCTGTCCTTCTACCGATCTTGATCTCTGGATATCAGAGGACCTAAACAGTTGTGCCTACCATTAGGGAAGGAACAACTTCATGGTTAACAGACGGCGAACAAGCTCCAAGAGGATTTAAATGCTCTGACCAAACAATCTCCTTCTCGTTCTGGAAGAACCAGCTCTGCTGCAGAATTATCAGTTCAACTACCTGGGCAAGAACACCACCAACACCAACATCCATCACATCCTGGACATCATTGGTTGACCATATCACATTGGGAGTAATAACTATTGCAAGATTGGAAGCTGTCATCTTGTTCTTTTCAGAGTATCTGGTAACTTCATGCAGAAACTGAAATAGATAAATAGATACAATATATAGAAGCATAGATAGATAGAAATTCATGAATAGATAGAAATGCATGAATGGATAGGCAAATAAATGGATAGCTGGATAAAACGATAGATATAATATTAGATTAATTGATAAATAGATACATTGTTGGATTAATTGATAGTGCTTGATAATTTATTAATTGTTGGAAAAGTTGACAAATTATTTGATTTATTGATGAAATAATTGATAAACTGCTTAATTAATTAATGTATTGTTTGATTGATTAATCTTTTATTTAATGGATTGTTTGATTAATGGATAAACTGTTTGATTAATCGATGAATTGAAAGATTAATTGATTAACTGCTTGATTGATTGATAAATTGTTTGATTAATTGTAAACTGATAAATTGATAAATTGTTAAATCAATTGATAAACTATTTGATTAATTGATAAATTGTTTGATTGATATATTTTAAGGTAGATAAATTGTTTGATTAATTGAAAAACTAATTGATCATTTGATAATTTGTTAAATTATTGATAGTTTTGCTAATTTTTAGATAAACTGAAATATCAAGGCTTTTAGGGCGCTTCGTGCACATCTTCTATTTCAACTTTTAATTGTGACTTTATCTGTGAGTTTGCAGATTTCATTGTTTGGCGCATTTTCAAAATTTTACTAAAATAAAAACTTTTAAATACAAATTTTTAAAATTTTGATGATTCATAAACCTTTCCGGCTGGGGTCACATGCGGTTCAGCCGTTTTGACGTTTATTTGATACAAACAAACAAAAAACAAACAAACAGACAGAAAAGCTAAATTTATCTATATATTTAATTACTTGTTGAATTTTTTGATTGATTGATTGATCAATAATTTGATTGATAAATTGTTTTATTGATAAATAGTTGGATTAATTGATCAGTTGTTTGATTTATTGATAATTTATTTGATTAATTGATAAATCGTTTGAATGATAAATCGTTAGATTAATCAATAAATTTTCTGAATAATTCATAATTTGTTTGACTATTTTAAAAACAGTTTGGTTAATAGTGTTTGATTAATTGAGAAGTTGTTTGAATAATTGATAAATTGTTTGATTGATTGATAAATTGTTTGATTAGTTAAAAAATTGTTTAAATAATTGATAAATTGTTTTATTAATTGATAAATCATTGGATTAATTGCTAAACTGTTTGAGCACATGTTTAATTAATTGATTGTTAGATTCTAACCTTAAATAGATAATGTATATTTCTATAGTTATCTCTTGGTAAATGCTCACTCTGGAGAAGGTTCCAGATACCATCAAACCTATCCTCCCCCTGGAGATTAGCAGTCTCCAACCAGTCCTGATACAGTTCACCTCCAAATAGAGGAGAAGGAAGCTCTCTTAGATATGTTTTTATTATCGCAGTTAGAACATGGTGATCACATCCTTCCAAGGAAGATAAAGTAGCCTGACCGGCGTCTATTTCTGCTCGTAAACGTTTGACCTTGCTTGACCCCGCCGCAAGCCGGAACAAGCCTTCCTCATCCAACCCTTGACAGTCATTTTATTAAAATCACGATTACTTTAAGCTCTTTTAATCAATTAATATTTCTATGCATTCTTAATTGAATAATTATATTTAAATTGTGGCATAAAATAAATCAATTGCTTAAGCACACAAGTCTTCAATTGTTCAAGCGTTCAAGACTTTTGCATTCAACTTATGAAAATCATGTGTTTAGGAATTCCAGTGGTCGAGAATTTAAGTGTTCAAAACATGTTACAGCAAAAATGCAACAACAAAGTGCTCCAAGCAATCAAGTGTTTAAGTGTTCAAGTGTTCAAGCGTTCAAGTGTTCAAGTGTATAAGCGTTCAAGCGAACAAGCATTGAAGTGTTCAAACATTTAAGTGTTCATTGATCAAGCGTTCACGCATTCAAGCGTTCAAGCGTCTAAACAATCAACCCTTCAAGCCTTCAAGTGTTCAAGGGTTCAAGGGTTCAAGCATTCAAGCGTTTAAGCATCCAAGTGTTCAAGCGTTCATGCGTTTAAGCATCCAAGTGTTCAAGCGTTCATGCGTTCATGCGTTCATAAACAATCAACCCTTCAAGCCTTCAAGTGTTCAAGGGTTCAAGCGTTCACGCATTCAAGCGTTTAAGCATCCAAGTGTTCAAGCGTTCATGCGTTTAAGCATCCAAGTGTTCAAGCGTTCATGCGTTCATGCGTTCATGCGTTCAAGCGTTTAAGCGTTCAAGCGTCTAAACAATCAACCCTTCAAGCGTTTAAGCGTTTAAGCGTTTAAGTGTTCAAGTGTTCAAGTGTTCAAGTGTTCAAGTGTTCAAGCGTTCAAGCGTTCAAGCGTTCAAGCGTGTTCAAGCGTTTAAGCATTTAAGCGTTTAAGTGTTTAAGCGTTCAAGCGTTCAAGCGTTCAAGCGTTTAAGCTTTCAAGCGTTCAAGCGTTCAAGCGTTCAAGCGTTCAAGCATTAAAGTGTTTAAGCGTTCTAGGATTAAAGCATTAATCGTGCAAGGGTTCAAGCATTCAAGCATTCAACAATTTAAGATATCAGACATTTAAAGCTTTTGTGCCAATAAAATACTAACCAAGTTCAATCAGTTTTGATATGCAAAGCTGTAAAGGATATGCTATCCCACTCTCCAGATTGAACCAACTAATATGATCCTTTAATGCACAACCAAATATGGGGAATCCACGTCTTGTTGATCTTATCATTTCTAGCCTAGGTTTCATTTCACCAATCTGAGTAGAATTATCCAGGTTCAGATTACCCCTGAACTCCAGGTATTGAGCTACTATGCCGGCCAGCTCACTATCCCGGGCCAGGAAAACCAACATGTCTGCTGCCAGGACATCTCTACAAATAGCAAAGATTTTATTACACTGTAATTCAATTCTAAAATCCAATCTAATCAGAGGTTAGAACTTTGAAGCAGAATATTGTTAATCTTGTACCCTTATTCTCGATATCTAACGTGGGCACTTTTAAATTTGAGGATAAATGGCTGCTATTTTATTTAAATTTATCCCCGACAAAATGCCCACCAGGGGATATCTAAGTGGAATTTAGTTTATCAGTAGGTCTGCATTAGACGGATCTAATTATTGCTTCTCTTATTGTGTCATCATCACAGAAGTAGTTGAACTATTGGTAGTTTAATTCAACCACTCAGCTGTATTATATTACCTAGTTTGTTCCACCTTCCTCGCAGTATCATCCAGGTCTTCAACCAATCTGTCTATCCGAGCTCCTACTCCGGGAGCTCCGTGTAATTCTTCTTCTTTGGCTTTATCCAGCCTAGCCTTAGCAGTATCCAGCTCCAAGATATATCTGTCTAACTGTTTCCTGCCCGCCAGTATGTTAGGAAGATCAGTTGACAGAACCTCCTAAATTATTAGGTCACCATTAATATCATTTATGTCAATATAATCGGCAATCTCTCATTTAGTTAAAAATAAATAAATAATAAACAGATGGCCAAACGGAAAAAAAACGAAAGGACAAATGAACGAAAGGACAAATGGAAGGATTGAAGGATGAATGAATAAAATGATGAATGAATGAATGAACAAATAAAAGGATGAATGAATGAACGAATGGAAGTATTAACGAACGAACGAATGAACGAATAAACAGAAAAACTAATGGACAAATGAAAAATGAACAATTAAAAGAATTATGATAAAAACAAATGAATGAATGAATGAACGATTGAACAAATTAACGTTTGAACGAGTAAACGATTGAGCGAGTAAATGATAGAACAAATGAACAAATGGAAGAATGAACAAATGAACAAATAAATGGATGGGCGAATAAATGAATGAAAAAACAAATAAACAAATGAAAGGATGAATGAAAGGATGAATGAAAGGATGAATGAAAGGATGAATGAATGCATGAATGAATTTATGAATTCCCCTACCCCTAGTTTGCCGACAATAATCTGTTCTACTGATATATCGTAGTTCACTTGATTCTGCGCTAGACAGTTACACAGGCCTCCAACCTCGACTAGAACCTATACAAAATAATCAAATAAAATTTAAATTTGAAATTTATTTTTTGATTTTTTCCGCTTTAGTTCAGAATTTATCACTGTATAAGTTTAATGAAATGTTGAATGAATGAAAGAATGAGAGAAGAATAAAGAGAAGGATGAATGAAAGGATGAATGAATGAATGAATGAATACCTGAGCTAAGCATGAACTGGACGACTGTTTCAGTAACCCCCTGCCTATCTCTGCTAAGGTTTGACCAAGAATAAAATCTCCGGTTTTCTTTAATCTTCTGTCCACAGAGGGACCGTCAGTTCCCTTACCAAACCCCTGATAACAAATTATTATCTGAAGTTTATTAATTTTTTAATTTCAAATAGTTTTTGAATCTTAATAAAGAAATTGTAAATTAAAAGTGTGTCAAATCTGATTCCCATCTATATCCTTAAAGATTGTCAAATCTGATTTCCAACCATATCCTTAAAGACTGGCAAATCTGATTCCCAACCATACTCTTAAAGAGTGTCAAATCTGATTCCCAACTATACCCTAAAAGAGTGTCAGATCTGTTTCCCAACGATACCCTAAAAGAATGTCAAAAATGATTCCCAACGATACCCTAAAAGAGTGTCAAATCTGATTCCCAACGATACCCTTGAAGAGTGTCAAATCTGATTCCCAACGTTACCCTAAAAGAGTGTCAAATCTCATTCCCAACGCTACCCTAAAAGAATGTCAAAACTGATTCCCAACTATACCCTAAAAGAGTGTCAAATCTCATTCCCAACGATACCCTTAAATAGTGTCAAATCTGATTCCCACCTTTACCCTAAAAGAGTGTCAAATCTTATTCCCAACGATACCCTAAAAGAGTGTCAAATCTGATTCCCAACGATACCCTTAAAGAGTGTAAAATCTGATTCCCAACGATACCCCAACAGAATGTCAAAACTGATTCCCAACAATACCCTAAAAGAGTGCCAAATCTCATTCCCAACGATACCCTAAAAGAGTGTCAAATCTGATTCCCAACAATACCCTAAAAGAGTGTCAAATCTGATTCCCAACTATACCCTAAAAGAGTGTCAAAACTGATTCCCAACGATACCCTTCAAGAGTGTCAAATCTGATTCCCAACGATACCCTTAAAGAGTGTCAAATATGATTCCCGAACGATACCCTTGAAGAGTGTCAAATCTCATTTCCAACGATACCCTAAAGGAGTGTCAAATCTCATTCCCAACGATACCCTAAAAGAGTGTCAAATCCGATTCCCAACAATACCCTAAAAGAGTGTCAAATCTGATTCCCAACCATACCCTTAAAGAGTGTCAAAACTGATTCCCAACGATACCCTTAAAGAGTGTTAAATCTGATTCCCAACGAAACCCTAAAGAATGACAAAACTGATTCCCAACAATACCCTAAAAGAGTGTCAAAACTGATTCCCAACGATACCCTTAAAGAGTGTCAAATCTGATTCCCAACGATACCCCAAAAGAATGTCAAAACTGATTCCCAACGATACCCTAAAAGAGTGTCAAATCTGAATCCAACCGATTCCCTTAAAGGCTTTGTCTGATCAAGGATCCATGAAAAATCAATAATCTTTTCTTTGAAAATTGATTTTTCTTAATTGTGGTTTCTCTTGTGTATAATAGAATTTATAAAACTAATATTTAAAGTTTTTTTTTAAAAGACTTTTTAAGAAACCACAAAAATACTGTGAACAAAGTTATAACATTTAATTACTGTATTCTGTACAAGTTTATTTTTTTTAAACTATGCAGAAATAATATCCAGGAAAAACGAACCAAAAAATTGCTTTCTAACGATTGATTTTGGTTTATTTCTATGCATTTATCTTCTTTCACGATTAAAACTCGGCACTGCAAGATAAATAAATAATTAGAGAAAAAAATTTCGAAATCCTAACACTTCTCAGACTTTTGTGGAACTTTCTATAGTCCAAATCAGAAAAAGATGTACAGGGTGTCCAAAAAAACAAGATCTTATGCATAGTAGAACTCACCAATCACCATGGTTCAATTAAATTTATTTTTACATTTTTAAAATTTATGGAGGATTTCCAATCGATTGATTGATCAGTTAGAGGTATGTAGCACAATAATCAAGTTAACAGTTAGGAGGCCATTTAGGTCATTAGAGGTCACAAGAGGTCATTAGAAGGTTAAACACTGGATTTGTCGCTGCTACTGTGTTCCCTGGGCTCCTAGCTTTCGTTTGATATGCATTAAGCCATAGTTGAAGTATTTTCTATTTGTGGAGGTCATTACAGGTCATTCAAATTCTATTTTATTTTATTTTAGGAATTTCGATCACTAATTAGGCGTGCAGCCAAAAAATTGGAAGATTTGAACCAAAAATGAAGGCAGCCCCCCACCCCCTTACCTCAAATATGCCATCTCCACCATCCCCTTTAACATTTTTTTATGAATTGATTGAAAATGTTCAATTGATTTCAAAAACGTCAAAGATTTTTACCAAATTTATGTTTTTTGGGACACCCTGTATTTTACTAAATTTTTACCTGCAAGCCTTCTGAAAATTTCTTCTGTAGTGTTGTACAGACTTGTTTGTAAACACCAATAGTTTCCTCTACAAAATATATATATGTAGTGTTTGTGCCAAATATACACTACTGTAAGATTCCTCTATTCTCAATAGAATATAAACAAGGAATGGGTTAATTCTAAGGAAGAACTGATGAAAAGGGGTGGTTCTTAAAAATCTTCTTGACTTGTCTCAAGTCTTCAACTGAATGCCTTTTTAGGTTTCAAGTTTCCCTTTTTGTCAGTTCTTTTCCTATCTTTATTCACAAAAAACATAATTTTATTTAATATCCAATTAATNCTTTGCAATCTTCCATTTTTCATATATTATTATTATTCCATTCTGCAATTCCTATAAAAATACAAAAGCAAAAGATTATTGATAACTGTTTTTACAAACTCCACATTTTAGGTTCAGATTACAACATTGAAGCTTTTAGAATTTTAACAAAAGGAATGTATTTGCACTTAAGAAATCTATCTATATATCTAGTATATACTTAAAATAATAAAGAATTTAAAATAAATATCAAAGTAAACCAACAAGCACAATAAACACCAAAACTGCCAACCTTAAGAAAGACTACACCTGGCTGAGAATAGATTTAAATGATAATAATCCCATTTTACTACAATATAAACAGGAGTTGAACTGTATGCTGTTCTATAAATATTTATGTAATAAACAGGAGTTGAACTGTGTGCTGTTCGTTAAATATTTATCTAATAAAAAGGAGTTGAACTGTATGCTGTTCTATAAATATTTATCTAATAAACAGGAGTTGAACTGTATGCTGTTCTTTATATATATCTAATAAACAGGAGTTAAAGTGTATGCTGTTTTATAAATATTTATCTAAAGCAGGAGTTTAAGCGAATGCTGTTCCGGATATTCTAGCCAATAAACACGACTTAATTTATTAAAAGGAAGTTTCCTCAATTATTACTTTTTTCCTTGAACGACAAAAACTTTCAATTTATTTGACAGTTTAAGAAAAGTTTAAGGAAACGAGCAGAAAAGTTAATAAAAAGATTCACTATCCAAAATAATTTATGAAAATTAAAAATATCCTAATTAAGAAAAAAAAATTCTTACTTCTGCAACCTTTTAAAAGTCCAAAAATGCTTAGAATCGAAACAAACCGACATATTGAAATGAGTTGGTTTTAATCTATTTAAATTTTAAAAATAATTTGTACGCATTATAAATAAAACCATATTTATAGGAAATGATCTCCTGCTAAAATAAAGCTAACATTATGATTTTGTTACGCATCCCATTTGTGTGAAAAATGGCCAAAGATTTGTAGACAACATTTTTTTAACGTGGTTTCAATAATTTATTAGAGTCTCCTTTAGTTGTAATGTAACGGCGCCCATGTTTGATTTTGTGAACCAGTATACAGGCTAGAGAACAAAACAAGATTGATTGATTGATAATACAGTGAAACCCATAAAGCTGGAGTATAGGAAGAACAATTTTGGACAATTATTTAGTTTGTGCACGACAAAACTCCGTGAATAATATGTTCGTATAAAAAATGTTTACAAAGAGCACATATTCTACGGGGGTACCCGCACATGATGAGACTGTAAAGACGACTTAAAACTCTTAAAATATGTTGATGTTCAGGTAAAATGTAGTCTTCAGCCTTGAAAATTGTCTTTCTATGGTTTACAGCCGGAACTATGCATAAAACAGACAGTAAACATTCCGTACAGTCGTCTGTAATTGTCTCATCCTCTTTGTAGGTAAACGTCGAAGGCCCATAGTTTTGAAAATAAATGATAAAATTAGTTTAACTGATATCCACCCTTTTATTTTCTAATTTATTCATTACCAATTTCACTATTTTCAAATCGGAAAAAGATCAAGTCACCAAAAAAAATCTCGTTTTAAAAGTTAATGTTCATAAAAATCGGCTAAATATATATATATATATATATAATAAAGTTTAGTGAATCTAGAATCTAGATATTTGAAAATATATATACATATAATATAGTTTAGTGAATCTAGAATCTAGATATTTGAAAATAGCTTGTTTAGTTTCCCTGTGAATTATAGGTTTGATGAAATCCAAGTTTGGTTAAATCAGACTCTAAACCTTCAAACCTCACCTCAGTACAACTAAATAGAGTTCAAGAGCAATGAAAATTTCTTTAACTTTTATTATGAAGCTTGAATTGATTAAAGAACGAGATAAACAAAGCTAGAACAGAGTTCATTTCGGTCCAATCACGGTTTTCATTAAAATCAACCCTTTTTGCTATTCACAATTCCTCTATTATTTATGCGTAATTGTATCCATATTCACAATTCCTCTGTTATGTATGCGTAACTGTATGCGTATTCACAATTCCTCTATTATGTATGCGTAACTTTATGCGTATTCACAATTCCTCTATTATGTATGCGTAACTGTATCCGTATTCACAATTCCTCTATTATGTATGCGCAACTGTATCCGTATTCACAATTCCTCTATTATGTATGCGCAACTGTATCCGTATTCACAATTCCTCTATTATGTATGCGTAACTGTATCCGTATTCACAATTCCTCTATTATGTATGCGTAACTGTATCCGTATTCACAATTCCTCTATTATGTATGCGCAACTGTATCCGTATTCACAATTCCTCTATTATATATGCGTAACTGTATGCGTATTTTTAAGTGACTCTTCATTCAAAGAGCTGGAAATGCCCTTTCAACCTTTTACTGATCCTCGAGGCTAGAGAAATCTGTGTTTTTATCTTTCAAGTAGTGTCCGAATTGCCGTAAACTGTAACTGTACGCTAACTTACAAATTACAATAACAAGTGTTTGTGTAGATACACAAGGATAAGTCTGACATTTTTAGTCAGTCAAAGGCTGGAAGGGTACTGTTGTGAATAGGAAACGCAAATGTAAGATCATTGAATTCAATTAAAGCTGAGTCCATAAATATAATCCTCGAATAGAAAGAAATGGGTGAGGAAGCATTAAAGGATTATATCAGTATTTTAAAGGATTAGTTAAGAATTAGAATTTCACCTTCTTCCTAGTAGAGTTTGAAGAATATTCTCAAGATTTGTATTGTTGTTCATTGTTTTCTTTTGCAGTACAGAGTTCATGTACACATCCAGTCGTCCAGAAGTTTCTACACCCCCGACTAGATTAGACAGTACAGTTTATGTACAGGCCTAGTTGATGTCTAGTTTGTACACCCCCTACTAGATTAGACAGTACAGTTCATGTACAGGCCTAGTTGTTATGTAGTTTGTACACCCGGCCCCTACTAGATTAGACAATTCATGTACAGATCTAGTCGTTGTGTAAGTTGTAAAGTTTCTATTGTCTACACCTCTACTACGAGATTTGAAAAAAAAGTTTTCCGATATAAGTGGGGTTTCATGTTCATAATAATAGCTAAACAATATTCAGAGATTTCAGATTTTGTTTGCTAAAGATTAAAAAAAAGTTACAAAGCTTTTTAGATAAACTGAAAACTCGCCACAAACTCATATTTTCTAAACCCTTTATCAATTGTAACTTAATAATCTTTAATTTTTTAAACTTCGATTTTTTAGTATTTAATCTAACAAAGTTCACATTTGAAATTTTCAGTTGTTTGCAATGATAAAAGGATTGGAAAATTAAAATTTAGTGTTTATAGTTCCTTAATTACGTTTTTTTATAGATTAAATAGTAATGTTTTAGGGGCTTTGATCAGCAACACAAAGTTACACATCTATCAGAAACCCAACGACAAAGAAAAAGATTTAAAATCTGTCGCCAATAATAAACAATAATGGTTAGTTTGAGACAGAACTTAATTCCTTAAAATGAGAAATTTTAGTAATTTATAAATGTTGTTTTTAACGATGTTGATGCCCGCACTCTAAGGTTTATTTTTATCAAATTTTAAATGTTGAATTATATTGATTTATATCCAAAATAAAAAAATTTTAAAGTTTTGTTATTACTAAATTGTAGCGACTAATGAAGTTAAACTTTATAAAATGTTATTAAATCTAAAAGGGACTGTAAGCACAATTTTAAGTGACACTCATTTAAAGAAGGGGATCCGCGATTAAAGATTTTCTTTATTTATTTCTGACAGAAACACTATTTTATATTTACGGAAAACTAATATTTATTTTCTAAAAGTGCCAGAATATAGTACTCATATTTGAATTTTGGAAAAAGAAAATTCTGTTTTTTTTTTCTGGAAAAATTGTGATGTCAATAGTGTTAAGTTCACACAGTACGCTAGCGTACACTTCAATTTTACAGCTTTTTACACAGAATTTAAGAGATATATACAGACACTGAGACATGATCAGTTCAAGATTAAAGGGAATGTTAAAATGGAAGGTCATTTGATATCACGCTTACAGTTCCTCTCAGAATTTAAAACTTGGACTAACCAATAATAATGAAGATTATTGTACAGAACAATTTTGGTAACATATTTTAACCTACAAATGGAGAAACAATGTATTTAATGTTCTGTAAGAGGATAGAGAGAGGATATTAAAGAGATCAGAGAGATATAAAAACAGTTTGTAGAACTTTTTTTACAAAAAAAATCCTTTAAATTACTTTTTCTGAAAGTAAAATTTTTGTTCAATGCGATAGTGTGAAACATGAGAATGCTAGGCTTTAAAAAAAAGACAATTATTCAGCTATGGTTGTCTCTGTATATGAAATATAAAATATGTTTATGTGCGTCTGTATAAACACTTTGTATTGGATGGACTAAACATGTAAAAATGTTTTTTATTTACTATCATTCTTTTTTCCAAACAAATTATGTATCGGAAACCTTTCAACAACATTAACAATAATTAAGACAATTATTTCACGAAAACATGTTAATATACAAATAGAAAACAGCCTGTTTCTCTGTTTATCTGTCTGTTAATAGATTTAAAGTTTAGAATACTTCTGCTGAAATATTCTCCGCGGCTTCAGCTGCACCAAAGCTCTAAAAAAACTTAATATTGGAGAATATATATAGAAAACCTAATATTAGAGAATATATATAGAAAACCTAATATTAGAGAATATATATAGAAAACCTAATATTAGAGAATATATATAGAAAACCTAATATTAGAGAATATATATAAAAAATGACAGTACGTGACTACACTAGGATATTGATATGTACCAAGGAACTATAAATATTTCTTGCTATGTACTGTGTTACAATGGATAATATATCAAATGTACAGTGAAATTTAAGCAGTCTAATAACTAGCAATAAGTCGGCCAAACGAGGGAGGGAACCCCCGGACGCAATAAGCCTCCGCCATGCAGACACGAGCCTCCCAGATTTGCTAGGCAGACCAAGCCTCCGCTGTGCTGTAGACGAGCCTCCGCTATCGCTATGCAGTAAACGAGCATCCTCTAATCGCTATGCAGCACAACCTCAATATAACTCTTTGTTTTTGCATGATGTAATATATATGATGTATATATAACTCTTGTAATATAGAATTTTTTCATTTTTTTCAACAGAGTGGCACAAGAATTTTACTTTTAATGTTGTTTATTGAATTGTCATGATTTGTATCTAGGGATGGTAACGTTTTCATTTTTCAGAAAAACGATCGTTTCGTTATGAAAACGACCTCGAAAAATCGAAAACGAAACGATCGTTTTTAAAAACGATCGTTTTTTTAAAAAGTTCGTTTTTTAAAAATGGTCGTTTTTAAAACGATCGTTTTTCAAAACGCTCGTTAAATTCCAGGAAATAAA